GTGTTTCCCGGCTGTCTGATGCTGTTAACGACCACAAAAGATCTAGAACTGACCCTAATCCTAACCCACAAACGTCCCACGAGAGAGTGCAACCTATGTCCTACGACTGCATGCAGCCTATCTATCACCCCCTGAAATATTAGACTGCCCCGTTACCTGTGGATTTCCCCTGTTTAGGGTAGATTAAGAAGGCACCGCAACCGTTATCAGATAACGAGCGTTTCATTAAAGCTAACATTAACCTGTTTGTCTCTCTGTCCTCTAATATACTCATCCGCCTACCTACATACCTAGCTACCTACATACGTGTCCATCCATCTATTCGTCCATCCTTCCATCCAACCAACAAACCAACCAGCCAACCAACGATTTACTCATCCATACATTCACCCACCCGTCCGTGATGTGTCTGTCTGTCTGTCTATTCGACTGTCTGTCCACCAATCTATCCGTCCATCAATTCATCCAATAAACAAACCAAACAACCAACCAACGATTTACTCATCCATACATTCAAACACCCGTCCCTGGTGTGTCTGTCTGACTGTCTATTCGACTGTCTGTCTGTCCATCCATCTATCTATACTGTCTGTCTGTACGTCTGTCTAACTGCACTCTTTTGCTTTTCACCCACAATTTTACTCTTTGTGTGTGTGTGTGTGTGTGTGTGTGTGTGTGTGTGTGTTTTTTTAATATGATTGAAAGAAGCATTCATACTTCCCATAAATAAGTTACACGCCCCTTACAACACATCGCAGATCAACCCCACATCTGTTGGCCAGTTAGGGTTTTACTCACCAATGTTTACATTATAGTCTTGCCACTGTCTACCAAATAATAAATATAAGTGACGAAATCAAAATCCGGCTGCTGACCGATTCAAAAATATGTCGGAATTATTAAACTGCCCTCATAATTTGCACCACGCTTCGGAAGCCAACCGTAGTTACATTACTAATACATAAAACTAATTTGCAATATTGTATGATATAAATTAATCTGTCGTGCCAGATGTTTTAGAGTTTGTAGACCGACCAGTTTGTGTGTACTTTACCTTCGTTATCAATGGACCATAAATTCTTATGTTTTACGATACTTGCAAGAAGTACTTTCTGCCTGTGTTGGGGTTACAGTGTGTTTTAGGCTCCTAAATGTTATCGAAGTTTGCATTGAAAAACCTCTCGCTAGAGGGAGAATTTTGAGGAATAATATTGTTCTATGCAATCTTTTTTTTTTTTTTTTTGTCTTCTTCTTTTCTTCCACCTTGTACCTCAGTGAAGTGTCAGGGGAAGATGTAATGTTCGCTGATGTGCTCTGTCAAAAGCACTATTAAGACTGATGTTAATTTCTGTAAGGCTGTTCTTAATGCCATCACTCCATATTTTTCTAGGTCTTCCACTCGCTCTATGCCCGTTGTGACTTTTTTTTTTTTGTCTACTGAGACCAAAAATAGAGTTTTTAAGAGCCTTACAGAGCCAGTCCTAAGGTACAGAAATAAACAATAGTATGATGACCAGTTAAAAAAAAAAATTGTGCAAGCTGCACATATGTGATTATTTAGACGAATTGCAAGAATACAGTAGACAGTGAAAATGTCTTTGAATACGAAACGAATTACCTGCATCAGAAGAGGGGAATGTATATTGTCGTGTTGTCAGAAAAGGGAGAGGGGGGGGGGGGGGGGGTCGGAGTACTTTGTGACAACTTTAAAGTGGGAGCGGAAGAGAGACACAAGGACACTAAGGGAAAAGATGCTGGATGGTTTGGCATCACAGCATGGAAAAACATTAGTATAATACATTATTGACAATAGACTAGGAAGAAGGCTAGGAGCAGATATGAATACCACACGGCATAGAAATCTTCCGTGAATACCCTGCTATGAAGTATATCTAGGCTCCCCGTGTGGGTTCCAGGGCCCTGTTATAGGGAAAACAAAATTTTGACTTAGTGCCAGAGTTTTGAGTGTGCATCCGTTTTACTGGCTTATTTGCTTGTAGTTGGTTGCTCCTTGTCGCTCGGGCAGATGCACTCGGACATTGAAAGAAGATCCCAGTTAGTCGACCTCTACGACATGCTTGTTGTGGAGACAGTGGGAATGTTTTTGTTTTTCCCACAACAGGACCCCCGAAAGGGAAGCAAATGTAAAATTAACCAAACAGTGATTATTATAATAAGCGGCGTTCGTGGCTTAGGCGTTGCAAGTCCGACTCGTAATTCCAACGTACCACGATCGAATCCAGCTGCTGGCTGCATGGATTTTTATCGTGGTATAGGGCTTCGCAGGTCGACCCAGACTAAAATGGGTACCAGGATGTATGTCCTCGGGAAGTAAAGACGGCCGGCGTAATACTGACCACATTACCCACCTAGTGTCGATTGGTCTGTAAAAAAATTAGTGCTCTTCCCAAATACCCGATACGCATAAAGGCTTGAAAAGGGATCTTTACTTTACTAATTATTATAACAACATGCGTCTTACCATGGCACCTTGTAGTAACTGATAAAATATTTATCTGCTTTGGGATCAAACACGAGAAAACAAAACTTTGAAATGTTCTCCCTGTCTTTACCTACATGTGCTTTGACGAGGCACTTGAGCGACCGTTGTTTGCCATTTAAACAATCACTACAATCTTGGATTAGGTTAATCTTATATGAATTGTTATATCAGTTTTATGTTACGAATGGTTGAAACCGGTTGTTTTTATCAGTTGTTGAATCAGATTTATGTTTTGAGTTTTGAATCAAGTTTGTGTTATCAATTACTGAATCATGGCTGTATTATGAGTTGCTAACAATCTCTCGCCTTTAGTCATTTCTTCCCCTTCCTCATTTTCTTCATTTTTCGGTGTCCTCAAGTAGTCAGTTTTCTACCCACGCTGAAGTCTAATTTTCTCTATCACTTTTTATCTTGTTTGCATTACTTCGTTTTTTGATTCCCATAAAGTGTCCATTACTTTGTAACTGAAACAAATATGTCCACTACACACACACACACACACACACACACACACACACACACACACACACACACACACACACACACACATATATATACTCTTTGACCTAAGAAATTAAAAAAAAAAAAGTTAACATGTATTTACCTTTTCCATAAACAAACTCCTGAACAACCAGGTTCAAAAGTCTAATCTCTTTGATTATTGACTTCACCGTTTCTAAATCACTGGTTTATTTGCTTTCCTTTGTGCACTAAAGCTAATATGTCTTATTATTCTTGGATTAGCACTTAGTAATTTTTTTAGAAGCGGTTTTGTTTTTCTAGGTGCGATTCGTAACGGTTGTAAAACGGTATTTCGAAAACGGCCTGTTTTTTTGTTGCCTGGGTAGCTAGAAGCCCAAGTGGGTTCGAGCCTCTTTCTAGCTACCCAGGCAACAACGCCGGTGATAAGGAATTAGTCTACTGCGTTGAGAATCTTCGGACTCATGCTTGAGTCGGAAGTAGAACGTGGCACTTATGGGTTACTTTCCTTGTGCCATGATGTTGATTTGCTGTCTAAACCTACAGAAAGGAATACAAATTTATATTTCATATCGAAAGTAAAGAAACCCTTTCGTAAAACTTTGAAATCGTTTCTATTGCAATAAGCCCATAATTTTATAAATCCGCTTCTTCTGCTGTTGCTTCTGCTGTTGCTGCTGCTGCTGCTGCTGCTGCTGTTGCTCCTCCTCCTCCTCCTCCTCCTCCTTCTGTTCTTGATCCTGCTTCTTCTTCTTCTTCTTCTTCTTCTTCTTCTTCTTCTTCTTCTTCTTCTTCTTCTTCTTCTTCTTCTTCTTCTTCTTCTTCTTATTCTTCTTCTGCCTTCTGTTCTTCTTCTTCTTCTTCTTCTGTCTTCTTCTTCTTCTTCTTCTTCTTCTTCTTCTTCTTCTTCTTCTTCTTCTTCTTCTTCTTCTTCTTCTGCTTCTTCTTCTTCTTCAAAGTGTTCCGCGTCCCAATGTCAGACGTAATTTTTTTTAAGCCCCACTCCGGTTGTTGCCGTGGTCCTTAATATATATAACCTAACCTATGGGTTTTAACGGGGTTTCTATGACCTTTTCCTGTGTGATCCTCATCCGAACGGTGGGACTTTGTGTACCGGGTGTTTATCGCTCGTCGTGAGGTCCTGGTGAGGTTGCACGTCAGACAATCGGTCAAAGTTCGTGTTGTTCGTCCACCTCTGGAGTTCCCGAACCCAAATGCTGCGTCGAGCCACGGAACCCACAAGCAGACATTCTATAAATCAGTCGAGACTACAAATGGTGTGGTCAATATCATACCTGTAGCATTTCGTCAGACAGTTCATAATAGTAATTTTAGTCTCGAGCGTTGGGCACGTTGTGGTGTGGCTTAAGGTTCGCCTGAGATAATGTTCGCTCCCCACCCCCCCCCCCCTTTTCCCTCATTATTAGCATTTTACAAACAGCTCAAGGATGAGAACAGCTACATATCCTAAAATCCCTGTTCAACCGTAAGGTCACCTATCCCAGTTCGATCGGGGCACTATAAAACGGTTACGACATAATCTGTGACCCATTGTGGGTTAGCTGTAACTGTTGATGCTGCCTTTCAGCAAGTCGTTAATTAGACATTTTTTATGTTAAACAATAATCAGACAGATCAATCTATCGATCGGTTTCTCAACTCTGGGTACTACCTGCAGGAAGCCTGGAAATAACAAATCCCCGTCTGGATGACAGACCAACAGGGCAATTTCCAGATACCCGGTTCACTCCCTGGAGACGTTGTAGTTGGGCAACCGTAACAACAACACCATACGGTTGTAACCTGCAGTCGTTTGGAGGTAAGGAAGATGAAAGTAGCATAAGGTCTATCTCTCCTCCTCCCTCCCTCCCACACACACAGACACATTAGGGCTAGTGAACCCACTTGGGAATTCTCAGGTATGTTAAGGCCAGTTCTTCGTTCAAATTAAACAATGTCCTTCACACGAAAGATACAATATTCTAAGACAGTAGGACAAGTGTCGAGAAGAACTCACCTTTTCCCTGTCCGACTTTCAAGACGGTGAAGACTTGTGGTCGTTTATCAAAGTCCTTGCCATGGGTAACAAAGACCTCCTGAAGCATCTCCACACCACTGAACCAGTAGAATGTTCTTACCGCCAAGCGCACAGGCTAACCAGATCTCCATACTTGTGTCTCAGATCTCTGTGGAAACAGTCAAACATTTGGCCTAGTGCATGACTGTACTGTACACAGTACAAGCTCGTTAACACAAATTCGCCTAAGAAGAAAGTAAAAGTAAAGGACCCTTTACCACGCTTTGGAATTCGTGTTAACCGACCTTTTACTGTAATTGTGAATTGAAACAAGTTTTTGCTGCTTTTCTGTGTCTTTCTTCTCATCCGTCTTTTTCTGTTACTTTATTATTCTCCCTCCCGTCATTGTTTTATTCTCTTCCTCTCATCCTACTCTTTCCCTCTCCTCTCCTACTCCTCCTCCTCCTTAACCTTCTTCTTCTTTTTCTTCTTCTTCTTCTTTTTCTTCTTCTTCTTCTTCTTCTTCTTCTTCTTCTTCTTCTTCTTCTTCTTCTTCTTCTTCTTCTTCTTCTTCTTCTTCTTCTTCTTCTTCTTCTTCTTCTTCTTCTTCTTCTTCTTCTCTTCTTCTTCTTCTTCTTATTCTTCTCTTCTTCTTCTTCTTCTTCTTCTTCTTCTTCTTCTTCTTCTTCTTCTTCTTCTTCTTCTTCTTCTTCTTCTTCTTCTTCTTCTTTTTCTTCTTCTTCTTCTTCTTCTTCTTCTCCTCCTCCTCCTCCTTCTCTCCACCACCTCCTCCATCTGAGAGTAGACCTGGGAGCTTCGGTCAATTAAAGAATACACTAACCTAATGCGAATTCGACAATATGACAATAAGACCAGTCAAACGTTCAAGCCCCCGCAACTTTGCCCACCTTCTCCACAACGATGAAACTTCAGCAAACTGGAATGAATAGGAATTACTTGAAGCATGGGCAGATTTCTGGCAAGGAAGGAGTAACAGTGCCGTCTTAACCATTATAGGCCCCTATGCAAACCAGTGTGCTGGGCCCCTACTACAACAACTCAGAGGAATGGAATGTAAATGATCGTTTTAAAAAAAAAACATATTTAGTTTACTAGCACTTCAACAACCTTGGTGTTCTATATACACACGCACACAAACATACACACACAGAGTATGTCAATACATTTCACTAATGTGTAGCATCACCATTATATATATATATATATTATAATAATTATTTATTATACATAAATATATATATATATATATATATATCATAACAAAAAATTATTTATATATATATATAATATATATTATATAATAATTATATATATATAATATACGTCTGTATATAATATATATATATATATATATATATATATATATTATATATATATATATATATACATATATATGAGAGGCGGGTGCGAATTTAATTTCGGTTTTATATTATAAAGAATTAATTTTAATTTAAAATATATTTATGGCAAAATGTATGGCAACTCACTTTATACACACAGAGGCCCGGCTCTCTAGCGGAATTGGCAAAACCGGATTTCGCGGAGACCGGATGACGTACTTCTTGTGGTCCGGGTTCAATCCCGGGGGTAGGCAGGAAAGCCACATTTTCTCCCAGATTTACAGTATTTACAATGGAATCAAGGCCGCAAGGTTGCGATATCCATAATACCGAGCCTAAGGGTTAACAACTCATGGCTTCTGGATACTAAAACAAACAAACATACACACAGAGAGCATGGAGCCCTTAAGCTTCTACCCCCCCCCCCACACCCCACCTCGGAAAATTCCCAGCAGGTCCATGAGTTAAGACGGCCCTGAGTAGTAAGTGATATCTGAAATATACCAACAGAACAGGCAGATGAGAACCAGGACAAGGGTGTACAAAGAACAGACAAGTGCAAGTAAACGGAAACAGAAAACAACTTTAACACGTCTTGAAGAAAACTCGCAGAAGAAATCTTGACATCTGACAAGATGGATAGGGAGTGATGCTAATAACTACATACAGAAAAGATATTCTTGAAGGCTTCGCAATTCTAGTGGCTTTTTAAGCCAACAGGAAAATGCGGGTGCTTCTTTTCGTTCGTCTGTGTAGTGTAGTTTGTGTTATGCCTGTTTGAGCAAAGATGCGATATTAGAGCTTTTCAACCGATACATCCGACTTCATCAATTACTTCTTCTTCTTAACGTTTACCGGCTGTAAATTTCGGCAGAAAGTTCTGGTTATTCGTCCACCTCTGGAATTTAGTCTTGTTATGAACCTGTGTGTTGACTGTTGGTTCCTTGCCTCTAATGCAGATGCACTCCGCATTAGTCGACTCCTACGACCTGCTTGTTGGGGAGGCGCTGGGTCTATTCTTGTTTTTCATACAATGGGGTCCCAGAACCCACACGGGTAGATCCAGCATTTGTGTACCGCCTTAACTTCCCAGATAGCTTCGTGGGAAACGACGAAGCCTTATTAGTGTGGTTTTCATGACGTTCTGGTCCTGGGTTCACCCAAGGAATCTGAACGTTCTGCAAATGACTGCTTAACATTACATCCATGTGTTGGACTTCAAATTCGTCACGGGCTGCGCCCTCGTGACAATCAGGAAGCAGTCCGCATTTCTGGGACTTCGATGACCACACAAATAGCTACATTTGTCTACAGGACGACAGAAACCTTTAACGTTGTTTTGTCTTGATACATAGCACGACATCAACGCAGATCAGCCAGCATCCAGTCTGAAGACAGAACGGAAATATTTGCTGATCTTTTTTTTTCTACTCCGTGTTGTGGTTTTCATCTATGCTGCGATATCTGCACCTGTCAGTCCGACACAATCGATTTCAGCAAATCATAAATTAATCGCCCTGTATACAACATATGGGTTTCTGGAGAGTGAGTCTAGTCTTTGGTTTTTCCCTCCACACCCAACACCCCCAGAAATACAGCCCCTTAACCCAATCAAGGAATCCTTGGTGAGTATCCAACATACTAGAAATACTGACCTGTATCTTTGCTCAGTAATGCAACATTCCTGAAATACTGCCTTTTATCTGACAAATGCACAACATACTTCATATACAGCCTTTTTATCTTTGGTCAAGAGCAGAACATACCTGACATACTGCCTTTTATCTTCGGACAAATGCACAACATACTTCAAATACTGCCTTTTATCTTTGGACAAAAGCACAACAAACCTGCCATACTGACGGGTATCTTTGGTCAAGAGCATAACATACCTTAAATACTGCCTTTTATCTTTGGACAAAAGCAGAACATACCTGACATACTGACGGGTATCTTTGGTCAAGAGCATAACATACCTGCCATACTGACGGGTATCTTTGGTCAAGAGCATAACATACCTTAAATACTGCCTTTTATCTTTGGACAAAAGCAGAACATACCTGCCATACTGGCGGGTATCTTTGGTCAAGAGCACAACATACCTGACATACTGACGGGTATCTTTGGTCAAGAGCATAACATACCTCAAATACTGCCTTTTATCTTTGGACAAAAGCACAACATACCTGACATACTGACGGGTATCTTTGATCAAGAGCATAACATACCTGCCATACTGACGGGTATCTTTGGTCAAGAGCATAACATACCTGCCATACTGACGGGTATCTTTGGTCAAGAGCATACCTTAAATACTGCCTTTTATATTTGGGCTGATGCCCAACACACTTGAAATACTGTCTTTTATCTGTGGTGAGAAACACAACTTACCTGAAATATCGCCTTTTATCTTTGGTAAGACACTCAAAATACCTTAAATAATTAGTTATATCTTTGGTCAGACGACAGCATAGCTAAAATACTGCCTGTTATATTTGGTCAGAAACACAACTCACCTGAAATACTTCCTTTTATCTTTGGTCAAGAGTAACGTCAGATTTCCCACAAAAGGCAACGGCCAGGGACCAGGAGGCAGACGACGCCGTTTCTGATACTGACGAATCAGTACTATACTGATGATGAAGACGAGGATGGTTATCGAATACTCGATGAGTAAATTGAAAAACAGAGACATTTGTAGACTGTCAGAATATGTTTCCTTCTTTGTTCAATGTTAGCCAGAAAGTATCTCCTAGTAAAGAACTACAACTGCATTGCCTGTACCAACGTGAATTGTTGTTTTGCTATTTACTTTTGACACTTTGGCTCTATCCTTTACTATACCACACAATTCCGTGTAGATTCACTGTTTAACACAATAAATATATACTTTTTAAACTTTCTCCTTTTGCTGGTTTAACTCATTCTACCCGAATAGTTAGTTTACTCCTTTCTATTCTTCTTCTTCTTATTATTTTGAAGAAGATCTCTCTATTCAATGGTGTTATTTTATTAAAACTAATTTAAACTTAAACAGATCTTGTTTCAAAATTTAAATTCTTTGAAAAGAAAGTGTATATGCTATTACTGGATAGTATTTACGGCGCTTAATTAACCGTCGTACAGTTTACTTTAAATATTTCTTTAATTGTGATAATTTCTTCAATTCAACATGTTACATGTTTGGCATACAGCATGGTATTTGATGCCAAATGTAAAGCTTTTATTTGATTTCCGTCAGTATACCTTGCTTCTCTGGATGTCTGTTTTAAATCATAATCGTGTTTTTATTTATCTGTGACACTCGTAATGACAACTACGTTAGAAACCACAGAATTTTTTTTTTTTTTTAGCAAGAATGTATAACTAAACTACACCTAATATCTTTCAGAGGGTTTGAAATAAGATTAAATCCGATGCGAAACTGAGTTCTTGCTCCTAATTTTGCTTCAGTTAGGTGAAACAACAACGTTACTGTTATTGAGTACTATACTTGTCCATCTGAATATCAAGACTCCGTTCACAGACTGCACAACCTGTAACAACACAATAAAAAGTATGATAAAGTATAGTTGTAACTAAAACGTACATTAAAATAAATAACACCTTTGTCGTGCCATGTCATTTACTTGGCTGATGGTGTTATGTATATTTGTTTAAGACAAATTGCTACTTTATCGATGATGCAATCAATATCATGCCTTTGGCCTTTACGTCTAAGGGGGTC